GCAGGAAAATGTACTTGGGCTTTATCTCCAACTTTCCAAAGTGGTGGCTTTCCTACCATGGAATACTAGCTTTCCAGATTCCCTCTGTACGAGTCAGGCAATAAGTCCCAGTCCTATTTCCCTCAGTATTAGTTTCCCACCTTTCCCCTTTCTGTATTATAATAGGGTCACAGAGGCAACATGGTCTCTTTTCATATCTCTTAGCTTCCTATGGAAGCAGCACGAGACTGCAAGCATCAAAATCATGATGAACAACACAGTCAGACTAGAACGTAAGCTATGGGAACTACTTTTAACCCAAACATGCGGGTCCAATCCTTCCATGCTACTCACCAATTGTTTAATCATATTAAACAATTATGCTAGGGGACACCTTGAGTCGATCTTTGAATGTATAGAAAATATCCTTTTCTAGCTGATCAACATCTGATGAAATGTTTCCCTTAAACCCTTGCAATTGCTGTCTTATCAAATCCCAATCATGCAATGTCTTATTATATGGGTAAGGGGTTACACAGAAATCAGTTACATTGCAATCATATTTTAGCATTAATTGATGTTGCAAGTCCATAATTTGATCTTTTAGCAAAAGAACAGTCTGTTGCAATAGTCCAGTCACTATTGTATAAAATGCTCAGTTGTGACAGCGTCCCAGAGTGTCCCTTAGAAAGCATGGAAGGAATATCTCTGCAGGCAGCGATTGCCATTCTCAGGAATCCTGATTTTTTGGATAACTTCAGTAACAGGACAGAGTCAGGTTACTGCAGCCACTGTGTCAATCCATCTCATCCAGGTCGTATGGCTTTATCATATTATGTTCCTTTCTGTGCCCAAAGTAAATCACCCCTCAACCGTTCCACCCAACATACTGGCCCCACGGCTTGTCCTGACTCAGTTACTCTCTTTTCTTCCCCTTAAAAACTCAGTGAATGTATGAGGCCTCAAACCAGACAGCTGACAGAGAAAACGTTGGGAGAATGAGAAGGCAGGGGTAATATGCCCTTACAGGCTGGGGCCTGTTCTGCACATAAAGTCAGATCTGGGACCAGCAACGGACCCTTCAGGGTTTGCGGCAAGCCCCACTTCCAGGACAGCCACGGGGTTGCCACAACAGGCTTGAGGCTCATATACCTGGGCCTCCCTCTTGGGCCCATAAACCCTAAGCCACAGGGGTTATGGAGAGACATATCTCTCTGCAGGGCCCTGCCTGCATCTCAGAGTCAGCCACTTCCACCCAGCCCAGTGCCATGTTCCAGAAAGGACTGCAGAAGCCAACGGTGGCTGGACACCGTCAGTCACTCACGTGCACCAAAAAACCGCATATGTAACAAAAGGCGACCTCATATACAACAAAGCGCCCCAGAGGGGAGGTGAACGAAGATGGGAAGGATTTTCCCAACTCCTACCTCCTGCACAGCTCCAGAGAATCCTCACGAGACCCTAGGAAGTCCTTGGCCATTCCCTTGGCAGACAAGACTGGGACTGGACGCAGAACTGGCCCACGTTCACACAGCAGGGTCTGGGCAGAGGGTCCAGGGAGCCGATGGGGGAAGTCAATGTTCAACCTCTGCCCACTAGTCTGTTGCTCTGTGACTTTGGGGGAGACCCCTACCACTTCTGGGCCCTAGTTTCTATTACTCACAGGATAGTGTCCCCAGTCTCGAAGATTCCAGGAGGGAGGTAATAGCTTCACCTGCTGTGGCCCAAGGCCTGCCCCAAACGAAA